GGGCGGTCTTAGAGGGAGGCGTCCACTGATGCTGAGCTTTGGCGTGTGTTCAGGATTGGTTGCCATGGTTTTAGTGTTTCTGCAGCTTCAGAATGCTGATTGGTTCGGGGTGTACCTGCACTCAGATGCCACAGGTGTCACCATGGAAACCAGCTCAGACCAAGAAGACAAAACATTATGAACAGACACTGTGCCTCCCGCTCCACCTCTAACACCTCCTCCTCCTCCTCCTCCTCCATCCAAACTGAACGTCTCGTCGCTCTTCCTCGTGTGTCTGATGTTCTTCTAAACTTTGCAGCCTCTCCTCGTCCCCGCCCTCCTCGGCTCGTCTCGCGTTCCTTCGTCGTTTACGCTCACGCCCACTGAGCCTCCACCTCCTCTCATGCACCTCTCTCTCCACCCTCGCCTCTCCCTTCTCCACCCTTAACCGTCTCCAGCTCTGCAGCAGTGATGCTTCGTTTCTCTCGTTTCATCTCTCTCCACTGTGCACCATTTTATTTCTGTGTACGGCGCTAAAACGGCGTTAGCATAACTTTTATCAGCGTCTGGAGGTGGCGAGCAGAAGCTGTGGCAGCGGTTTTTATTGAGCGCATAAAGAGCAGCTCCGGCCGGAGTAATCAAGGAAGCCGTGTTTTTGAAGAGTTTACAGCAGTTTCTACTTTAAACCTGTCAGAGGAGTCATGTGCTACGGTGGCTGTGAGGTCCAAAACGTCCTCAAAGGCGGGGACTGTCTTACCTTTGAAATGACCTGAACGCAGCTCGCTCCGGGCCTCAGACACACGTCGGAATCATGACCACGTTCCTGCGATCGATTGTTAAAATGCGCCTTTGAGGCCTGAGAGGCGGCGAGGATCAGGACAGGGTCACGTGACCAGCTGCAGACCTCGTCACATGACCACTCCTCATCCACATGGTGCGTTCGCAGCAGACTGATGTCAGTTTAGGTGAACCTGCAAATATTTAACTCTGAGCCTTAAACACCACGTACACCCGACGTCGCCACCAATCAGATATGGGGGAGGAGCTTATTTATGCCCTTTGAAGGCAGTTGGAGCTCAGCTTCACTGAGTTGGTTCAGCCTTACTGTGACGCAGAGCCGGGAAGCAAAGAGCGAATCAGGCGACTTGTTGGCGAACGACGTGTTTTCACACAGGCGACGCAAAGCGAAACCTGACTTCACTAAGAGTGCAGCAGGGTCGACGATGAGGCTGCGACTGTTTCCGCCTCCTCCACCTAACGCCACCGTCCATGAAGAAGACCTCAGAAGGTGAAGCGCCTCCAGGACAAACAGCAGTCTGAGGTTTGAGCTCCGAGCGTCGCCCCTCCTTTATGCTCGCTGCCGACACGTCCGTGATTTGGTGTCACTTCAGCTTCGTGGGGTTTTGCGCAGCCGTGTCTGCGAGTGCGTCGGTCCATACAGGAAAGATCTGTGGACGTCACTCAGACCGGAAGCTTCCTGCAAATAAAAGTTTTGGGAAAATTAAACTTTGAACAAAGTCCTGATGAAGAATCAGCAGCACCTTCCTGATGCTGTGAAGCTCAGACCGTAACTTCTGACGCACGACAACGAGCAGCGACGAAGACGTCGAGCTTCATAAGGTGACGTCTTTCCAAGGTCAAAGTTTCACTTCCTGTCCTGCTCTGAGAGGTTTCCTGAATCCTCCTCGCTCGTGTTGTTCGGCTCTCAGGACACTCAGGTGCACGCACCTGTCGGGGTCTCGGCTCTGCGGTTTCTACCTGGTGCTCTGATCTCTTCGTGAACTCTGAACTCGCTGTTCCTGCCGTCGATGGTTTTCCTCCTGCGCGCTCTGACACGCTGAGTGAGCGTCGCTTCACGGCCACAGAAACGACCTCAGTGATGAAGGTTTATTAAAGAGCAGCTTTTACGATGATGAAGAGCCTCCGCCTGCACTTTGTGTTTACACACAGTTTTAATTTTTCACTTGATCAAACTTTATGCGTGCGGCCTCTCGGGCAGGTCGGAGGTTCAGAGAGCGTCACCACAAAGATAAAGCAAACAATTATTTGGATAAATGCACCGGTCTGTGCGCTGAGAGCGAGCCAATGAAATGAGAAGCAGTCGCACAATAAATCACCACAAACGGGAATGAAGAGCCTCACAGAGCGCCGGGATACAGCAGCAGAGGACATCAGCAAACCAACAGCGTGTCAAAACTTTATCGAAACGCCTCCCAGGACGCCGCGCGGTGACACGGACGTGGCGCCGAGACGAGAAACGTTTCCTGTGAACCATAAACAGAAGTGTGCGGATGATTTCGCCAGGCGCCGACCGGACTGCAGCTGCACCTGACGTAGATAAGTTGGAGTCTGTTTCAGTGTTCGCACCTGATGGAGTCGACCTCCACCTTTGTGACACCTCTCTGACACCGCCTCGGTGAGACGGCCATCTTTGATGTGGTTTCAGAGAAGAGGAGCACATTTTCATCGGGGGGAGGGCTTTAAATGAGGGGGGAGGAGTCTGTCTGCAGCATGCTGGGCCAGACTCGTTGTTTACTACCAATTGTCCAATCAGAGCCGCAGGAGCAGCCGAGCGCTTGGCCCCACGTGGCGGTGAGAAGACGGCAGTAACAGCAGGCATGTGAGAACACGCTGCAAGCAGCTCAGCTGAAACACGCCGAAGAAAAACGACCTTCATCGCGTCGGGAAAACAGCACAGGGACGCCACGAGTCACAGGGAAGCAAGGAGGCGAGGAAGGATGAAGTGCAAAGGAAATAGGAGGCAAGAGAAGTGAAGCAGAATTATAGAAACACAACGTGAAGCTGCTCAGGAGGAGCGTCACAGCTCGGCTGAAAAGCTGCCAGATGTGCAGCACGCAGACAGCTGTGCAGCACGCAGACAGCTGTGCAGCACGCAGACAGCTGTGCAGCACGCAGACAGATGTGTACAGACAAACAGCTGCAACAGAGCAGCGCCACCTACAGCTACACGCACAGACTGCATATGAGCGATGACATCTGGAAGGCTCACTTCAGTCTGCTTCCACAGAGACCAGCTGATCAGGAACATAAGACAGCGTCACTCAGTAAAGCTCAAGCTCCGCCTCCTCAGAGGTGGACATTAAAGCAGGTGAGCTGATGAGCGCTCTGCTGTTCGGGCTCCATCAGTCGTGTCAAACCTCTGACTGCACGATCGTGTGCACACCTGTCAGAGAGCAGCAGGTGTTCCTCCACGGGAGCTCAGAGTGTCGGAGCTGGGGGTCAGCAGCTCACACAGGCTTTAAACAAACCACTGACTCCGCCTCCTCGCCGATGTTTGCCTTCGTCTGCTTGGAGAGGACAGAAGCTGCTCTCGCTGTTTCTGACGTGCGTCACCTCTTTGTAACGAAGCAAACACACCTGTGTGTGCAGCTCGCACCTGCGGAGGTCTCCGACCCCGAGACCGTGGTCATCAGGGAGGAGTTCGTGTATGTCAGGGTCGCACGCCAGACGCTGACAGGCGGCAGGAACCCTCACATGTGCACACGAGCTGCAGGTAGTGACTGTAGATGAGCTCGTGCTCAGAGGAGCTGGACGTGTGCAGGTGACGTGTGTGCAGACTGTCGTGCAGGTAAACGCCGCGGGCTCATTAAACCTGCGTCAGGTGGTGGTGCAGGTGTTCCTTCAGAGCACGGCGTAGTTTCTTGCTGACGCAGGAAGCGAGCAGCCTGATCCTTTCTGCGGGTCTGAATATTCTCCCGCTGTTCCCCTAACTCACCCCCACCCCCGCTCTGCCTGCTGTGACTTCTCCCCGTTAATGGCGTCGCTCAGACTGTGACAGCAGGGCCATAACACATAAAGACAGTGGGCTGAACTCAGTGAAAGCCACTCTGGGAAGCCCATTACAGCACGGCCGCGCCTCTTTATGCATTCTTCCCGGGCCCATATCGGCCCTCTATTGGGTTCACGGGGCCACGGCTTCGGACACAGGGGCAATATACACACTGCATAAAACATTAATGGCGTGGCTCGGCCGGCTGGCGCTCTCTGCTGCAGGCGAGGGTCGAGAACACGGCGGATAATAAAACACAATCCTTCACCGGCTCATAAAAAGTGTCGAGAGTTTGCTTGAGAGTGAGGCGAGCTTCCCGAGTCTCTTTACCGCCGCTGACACGAGCGAGCATGACTGAAATACAGCCAGGACGGTACCTACTACACTGCTCTAAAGGGTTAAAGGTCAGAGGTCAGCAGCAGTGGAGATGGATGAACCTCTGCTCGTTCAGGAGTCTCTGAACAGGCTGTTAAGAGAAACAGAGATTAATAAGAAGTATGATTCAATGCAGAGACGATGTTAACACAGAGTGAGAAGAAACACCCAGTGCATCATGGGAATCCCCGGCAGCCTACATCTATTGCAGCATAACTAAGGGAGGATTCAGGGTCACCTGGTCCAGCCCTAACTATATGCTTTA